TCCTGGCACAAGTTGAGAAGGAGTCCTTCCCGCTCACGGGTGTGAGCCTGCAAGCGCTCAAAGCTGACACAGCAGTAGTCATCCCAGGCCCGCAGAACCCGGCTAACAAGCCCGGGAGCCCACTCCTTGCCGTAGAAGTTAGAAGCCGGGGCTTCAATCACCTCTGGAGGAAGCTTCAGCTCATGAAGAGACTCATACAGCTGAAAGCTGCTGGTATACACGGCAGTGGCCTTAGAGCAGGGATGGCCAAGAGTGCCCTGGTCGAAGCTGGCGGTCCATCCCCCCAGACACACAGAAACATTCTCATACTCGGGCCATTCCCACGCAGTGGAAGTCTCAGGCATTTCCAAGCAGTTGAAGAACTTCTCTTTGGCACACGAGGCCACAAAGGTCAACAGCAGAGACCGGAGTAACAACAGGGTGTCCCGATCAACCAAAGCACGATCGGACGGGCTGAGGTCTGAAAACCCAAACCTATCATCCCCCTCTTCCCCTCGGAACTTCAAGCCATTCGAGGAGGACGCCAGGGCTTCAGGATTGAAGGTCCTGCTTGGCGGGCCACATACGACCCCATCGATGACACCCAGGGTGGCTGCCCGCAGCAGCATGCCAAACACATCATCAGAAAGAAGGTCCGATCCCCTGGAGATATCAACCTCAAGCACTTGGCCGACAGAATGTCGCCACCGCTGCTTTCCAGCAAACAGATGCACCAAGGTTGGGACCTGAGGGTCAAACAGCTGTCTCCTGGTCCGGCGGTTGAAAGGAACGCAGGAGGGATCAAAGGTGGGACTCACCGCAACCTGAGACGCTAACCTTTCTGGGAGCCCTGGAAAGAGGGTCTTAACGATCAGCTGCAGCTCACTTTCGCTGCACGAATCTGCCGCCACATGGGCTGCAACCCACTCCCTTAGGGACGAAAGCCCAACCTCCTCCTGGCCAACTGATCGCTGCCAAAGCTGTTGCGATACGGCCCTTGAGGTCTCACGGCGCAAGAGGAAGCGCTCGTACTCGCCAATCAGGCGAAGCACCAGAAACTCTGGCAACTCAGGAGTGCCATCCTTGAGTCTCACCGGGAGGATCCCGAGACCTGGATGCCGCACGTGAATGCCCCGGTCAGTCCAGTTGATCTCACAGCCCAAAAGCGGCAACGCATGCATCGGCAAGATTGGCTGCACTGACTCCCTGACCAACAAAGTCCCGGCGGAGTTCACATGCATCAGAGCCTCGCCGACCGCGAGAGACACGCTCACCGGGCGGGACTCCTGGATTTCCTGAGGCGATGCCTGGCGGAGAGAAGCGGAGGCCCCGCTATCCAACAAGCCGTAGCCCGTCGGGTTGCTTACAGCACTAAGCCGCAAGGCCTTGGTCTTGATCGACCTTAGCACACTCAAGATTTCTGCATTGATGGCTGCGTTGCCATCCCCCTGACTCGGAGCTGCAGCCTCTGCCTGGTCATTCGCGGTCCCAGCAGGCGCGGTTTGAGGGTCTACGGTAGCAACCTTAGGTTTACCCCCAGGCTTGCCTTCCTTACCCTTACCTTCCTTAGCCTTACCCTTCGCCTTACCCTTAGGAGAGGAATCGGCAGGGGCCTTTGGTGTCTTAGGGCTAGTGGAAGGGGACTCCTCATTGGCAGCCTTAGCCTCCGCCTTTAACCTGGCTTTCACCGGGCATGAGTCCGCCCAGTGATCTTCGGCACTGCAACAGAAGCATCGGCCCCGCATCTTTTCTTCATCCTGGTCGTGGTAGAACTGACAGGACGACCCGTACATGCAACCGCCAGCCGTTAGCCAGCTTCTGCAAGGTTTCATGCCTGCACCCGGCGACTTGGGTCCCGCTGGAGAAGTCTTGGCCTTCGGGGTACTTGGAGACGTCTGCAAGCGCTGCAAGCGCTGCTTCTTAGCATCATCCCCTCGGCCCGGAACCTCATCCTTCACAGGATTGTCATCTGTGGAGTGCATCAGGTGCTCCACCTCCGCCTGCATCATTCGACACAACTCCGACACAGCGTCGGAGGTCGGCTGGTAGTCAACCCCAAGCCGCTCACGGAAAGTGGCAAGTCGGAAAAGGCTCGCGGAGTGCTTCTGCAACACCTTTCCTGTCAGGACATCTAAACCCTTAACCAGAAGCGTGGTGTCAGGCTCTGCTGCGTGCAGTTGCTTCAGGCGCATACGCCATTGGGTCCACTGCCTCAGCAGCTTTGCAGCCTCCGACAAAGTGGAAGCAGCCTTCGGCGTCACCAAAAAACGCAACATGGTTGATCGTTCTGACGCTCCCCCGGGCTGAAACACCGTCATCAGACGAAAGATCATTCCTGCCACACTCAGGTGGCGTGAGGCGACAATGTCAACCCTCACAGCATCCGGGATTGCCTGAAGAATCAAGGTCACGCATCGCTGTTCCAGCAAGGCATGCTGGGGCTGCACCAAATTTACCTGATCAAACTCCTTCTGGATCGACAGCCTTTCAAGCGGGGAAGTGGAGAGCCACCGCACGTAGGCCTGGTTGGCCGCCTGGTATGTATAACCCCACCAGACACTTCCGGTGTCTGACAGTGAAGAAATCATCGGCTGGACCACTGCGATCCAATCTCCAAGCGCGGTGGGGTTGTTAGGGTTGTAGGCCTCTAGGGACGGTAGGGAACTTACATGTTTACCCACAGCTTCAGGCCTAAGGTCCTTAACATCAACCCGACCACTATTTCCAACCGGCGGGGCAGCTATGGGAAGACTTAAACCCGAAGGGGCCGGTGGGCTCGGAGGCGGAGTGGACGAAGGAGGCCTCGGAGGAGGCGATTGGTATCGAGGCATTGCCGCTCCCGCGCAGGAGGAGACAGCATGGCAGGATGGCACTGGAAGTTGTGCTCCAAACGCAGGATGCTTCGGAGGAGATGGACTGTTGCTCCACGCCCCAGGAATGGACGGAGCTGCGACCAAGGGCGAAGTCCACTGCGGAGGAGGAGGAGGGACGAAGTCCACAGGCTCTAAAACCAACGAACCATTAACCACCTTCCAGCTATGATTAACTCCCATAACCCTTATTACCCCAGACGAAGTCGGCAACTGGGCACGGGGAGACAGAGCGAAGTACTGAGGTCCAGCACCCGCGGCAGAATGAAGTCCAAAGTCCATCGAAGGAACCTCGGAAGGAGAAACGGGATTGGGAATCCCTGAGGAAGATTGGACTCCTGGGGGCCCTGTAAAAGAGTGAAGTCCAAAGTCCATCGACGGAACCTCAGAAGGCGATAGGGTGGCCCCAGGAGCACTCGCAGTTGAAGTCAAAGGCACCATGTCCCCAGGAAAAACCATCGGGGAATGAACAGATGGGCCAAAATCCATATCGAGGGAGGACTGACGTGGAGGCTCCTGACCCAAGACAAGGTCGTGAGTGGAATGAAGGGGGTCCGAAACATTCCAGGAAGACCACCCCTCAGAGGCGAAAGGAGGCAGAGGTGGCACCGGGGGCAAAGGATAACCCTCCTCAGACTGAAAGTTTACCCTTTGGCCCTTGAGCTCTAGTTCCTCTACCCTACGCCCAGAAGAGGCCGACCCAAAAGATCTGGATCCTCTCGTACTACGTTCAGCCTCAGCTTTCTCTAGCCTATCATGAAGATGCTCAACCAAAGACCGTAGTCTAACGATTTCGAAATGTTGCTCTGAGGGATCCGGGATCTCGTAGGCCGAACTCTTCTGGGACCTCTGGGCTTCCGGAGACAGAGGGATAGACCTCCTTGCTGCGTCTTCACTGACGCTCTCAGCCCTTTCGTTCCCTAATCTCGCGCTACCGGTTTCGACCTCTAGGTGAGACCTGTTCGGAACCCTCCGTTCTGAAGCACCATCCCCGACAGTTGTAGAGACCTCTGGGGTCCCTTGGTTGGAAGATCCAACTCCCGAATCCTGAAGAATGCCCCTTGAAGCCCCCACAACTCTCGGATCAAGTACCTCAGAAACCGAAAAGTTCCGAACTTGCTGACCTCCAGAAGGCTCAGATGTCTCCTCAGGCGAAGTTCTCCATCCAGTCTCCAGCACCGGCACAGATCGCCGATCGTCAGAGGATTCATTATTCAAGGTCTTCAAGCTTTGTTCTGGCTTCATAGGTGACATTGACATCCAGTCGGTAGGCTCTTGGGGTCCCGAGAATCCAGGTTTCCCAAATGAAAGCCCTCGGCCTTCACCTGTTGGCTCCTGAAACAGACCTCCACGACCTGTTGGCTCCGGAAAAAGACCTCCTCGGCCCCTTGTTCCATGACTGTCTGCCAGCCCACTAGCCGCACGAATAACCTCTGAAGTTGGAGGAGCACCTTTCCCCTTTCCACCAAACTCCATGTCGTAGCTAGGCTCCAAAACATCTTCATTGACCCGTACCTCCGGAGTCTTTCTAGCCTCGTTCAGGTTCTTCGGGCGGGCTTTCTGCAACTCCACTTCGGCCTTCGCCCTTTCACTCCAGAAAGGATGAGACTCCGAAATCTCAGCCCTCGGTGGACCTTCGGAGTCTTTCTCCGGAATCGCCGCCAAAGCCTCAGCCTGTGCAGCATCTGGAGCGTCCGGCTCTTGGCGCTCTGATCTGCGCCGGCGAAGGGAGGTTTCCATGGTTTCGCAGGGGAAGAGACTACACTCTTACCACGAAGCTCAGCACTAAGATACACCCGACTAAGCTAGGACCTAGGGCCTAGACTTACAAAGTTCAGGGAGCGGAGGGCGATACTTAGGGGCCTAAGCCTACGAAGTAGAGCTAAGGAAACCCTAAGGGAGCTTGGGCTCCTAACCTCTTTTCGAGGTGCTACCGAGGAAGGGCCTTTAGAGGAACCTGGCTACCTAAGCTTTGGACTCTAGGCTCAACCCTGAAATTACACCCCGAAAGGCACGCAACAACTTTATATACGCTGAGCAAAAAAGGCCTGCAAGGGCGTGTCATTCTTGCGCAGGGGTCTTGCAACAGTTACGATTATTTTGGGGCAGATTTTACTAAAACGATTTCTATACCCTATGCAGCCCAGGGTCACATTGGGCGTCAGCTGCACCCGCAGCATCTGCGACAGCAGCTCCCAGGATTCAAACCAGAGGCTGGCCTCTTTCAGAGTTTCAGGTTCTGGGGCCTGGAGCATCCCAAATTCCCGTTTATTCATCCGGACTTGGGAAGTCGGCTCCAAAATTCCTAAATCTTATGAACCCTAGAAGCCCCCCCAAATCTTCTCTTGGGGTCTCGGTACTTCCTAGACCCTAAACGCTGTCGGTTGCCGGAGGAGCCCATGAGGCTCCCCCGGCTTGGGGACTAAGACTAGGGTTTAGGGCTTGCCTTTGGGGTTTAGGGTTTAGGGTTTAGGGTTTAGGGTTTAAGGTTTGGGGGGGCTTGTATCGGGTTTTGTGGTTTTGTTATATGGCTGCTATAGCATCTGTCATCTCTCTCTCTCTCTCTCTGCCGTTGCATCCAGAGGGTGCTATAGGGTTTTCTATTTTGACGTAGGGTTCTGGGGCTGAGGGCTTTCTTAATTCTTAATGGTTGATCTCTTTACTCGGTTTGTCGGTGTGTGGGTGTGTCTGTGTGTACTGCTCTCGAATATAAGCACAAGGAGTCACCTCCATCGCCATTTTACAAACATTTGCAGGGGCCCGGCGGATGGTGTTACGACGCTGGCAAACGAAGCTAGCAACACCATGGGATGAGGTTTGCGATACCGAACCTTGTATGTGCAAGGACAGGTGGACAGGACACAACCCATCATGAAAGTCACAGCCGGAGCCGACTCCTTTGCTGACAACATAGCCACATAGCTTTCACGCAGCTGTCACAAATCCCTGATCAGTTCGGTCTTCATTTCCAACTGCTGTCGCAACGGTGGCGTAGTCTGCGATATTCGGGCTTGCTTCGAAGTCCGATCGGTTTCGCATTTCGTACAGAAATGTCTTTGACCGTCTAAAGGACCGACCGATTTCCCTGGTCGGTTCTCGCAGACACAGAAAGCAGAGGAAAATCGTGTATATAATGTAATCGGGGAAGGAAAGAGAGGGAGAAACAAACTTTCAAGATCAGATCTTATACCAAAATCGCCACGATGAACATGTTCGTGTCGATCGACCTGCGCAGATCCTCGTGAGCCGATCGGTGTAAGCACGAAAGGCAAGAGTTGTCACTTCGCGCACCCAAATATGTGCTACACGACAAAAACAATTTTCGATTTTCCTCAGCAAGACATGCACGGCTGCAGCAATCTGGTAGGTCACAGCGCGGCCATGTCTTGCAGCTTGCCAGTTGGCATGTTCGGTTCAGCTAGCCTCAAGCCACGGATTGATTAACCAGCCAGTCCCTGTGTGTGTGTGTGCGTGTGTACATATGTGTGTAATCTCTGCAATGGTAGGTATTTAATTATGCTGCCCAGGCTGAGGCAAGTGTCAATCGCAGATGCTGGTGGCCGTGTTGTTGCTGTGCCTGTTGCACCTGAAGTTTTCTTCTTCGACGTCGTGGTGGTGATTTGGTGCTTGTCGACTTAGCTGTGACGATTGCGAATGTCTTGTAATACTGCAATTAGGTTCGTGGTGGTTCTTCATGTTGCCGTGGTGGTGGCGGTGGTGCTGGTTGTTGTTGTTGTTGTTGCTACTGCGGGTGAAGGTGGCGAGTTTCAACTCGAAACATGCCGAGCCACCAGGCGACAAACCTAGGCACGCAAGTCTCCGGGTTCAGAGTTTTTTCAAACAGGCTGAGGCCTTTCAATGCTTGATGTCTCAAGCCAAGCGATCGGCGAGCGACCTTGGAATTTGAGGTTCGTCATACCCCCGGCCGTCATGGCTCCCATGGGTACTGAGTACTCTGGATGATGGGGCTGCTCGTCAGCTCTTGCTCTGCACCTATAACTCGTAGCACCAAACTTCTACAAGCAAAGCCGGAACTTAAACGCCACAAAGCGACACTCTACACCTCAACTTGCAAGTAGGAACCTGTACTTCTAAACCCTCAAAGCTAACGTTTTCAACGCTAAGCCCTGAACTTAAACCCCATAAAGCCTCAGAGTCATAGACTGTGTTTTCAAATCCTACAAGGCCTGGACCGGCCTTCTGACATGCGCTGATCACCACACCAAAGCTCACGGAGTTTGCAACCGCACGTTGCGACTCGATTGTCTTGGCTGGCGAAGCTTCGAGATTGACTTATAAGCCCTAAAGCCCAAATCCTGGATGATGTAACAGGTAATAGCATAATTACAAATATTTCTCTTAACCAACTTGCCCCAAAAGAAGTCGACAAAGCCTGACACCCTCTAAAGGAAGTGTAAATGCCTTAATTCCGCAATTCCACGAGTTCAGCGACTCCTCCGATGCCCCCTCCCCCAAATTTCCCCCCCCACCACCAAGTCTGTATGGCATTACATTAACTGTCGTAGCCTTATTTACAACCCTAGTTATTAAGTCCCACGATACGGCATCGGCACTCATAAGTTCAATTAAGGTACGGATAGTCTTACCTGCTACGTCCCATGATCCTCCAAGTAGTCTTCTCTGCGATTGGGCTTGGCGGCTTGGGGTGATCTCATAAACTATGACAGAAGTTTAAGATCACTTGGGGCTCGAGGCTCTTTTCATGGTTCAGGGTGTATGGTGCGGAGTCTCGGGATCCCGGCTACCTAAACCTAACCTGTTCAAGTCTCACAAGGACCTTTTCCGGCTCTATCAATTAGCGTTTTTACTTATCATGGTTTCGAGTTTAGGGTAGAACGTCATACTGTAGCTGTCTGTGGACGGCGAGGGCAAGGATGACACAGTCAATCCAGCACTTGATGATTACTAGATTACTAGAGCGCCAGGAACGCATGGGGGAAGACTATGGTTTTGGGGTTTAGAGCTTAGGTTTCATTGTTCACACACGGCGAAAGCTGCCACCCAGCCACAGAGAAGATCTGCAGTGCCTGCTGCCATTGCGCACCTCTGCAACGTGGGCATTTCAGACAGTTCGGAGCCACGTGTACACCCGTTGTGTAGGTTCCTTGAGCTGAGGACCCCTGGACCCTAAACATCTGCATATAGCATCCCCAGTTCTAGGAAACCCCACGTCAGCGATCCCGAACTCTTCCTACTTGGAGGTGCATGGGTAGTTATAAGTGGATTTCTGGGCTTCTGATAGGGGTCATCATAAAAAATACCCTACGTACAACCCCACTTATATATTAACTAAAACCCTAAACCCCTAAACCGACTCCCCCAGAACCCTAACAAAACCCTGAACTTTCGTCTGAACCTTGTAATCCTAAAGCCCATATACTCCCCCTAGAAACCCAGCTTTAGAACCCCACTTACAACTACCCTTAAACCCTATAAACCCCAAACCCTGCCTATAGAACCCTTAAAGGAGCCCTAAAACCCCACTCATAACTACCCATGAGCCTCCAAGTAACCCCACTTCAACCCTCAAACCCTCTAACCCCCAAGCCAGCCCTGAACACCGCTTATCAAACTACCCATGAACCGTCTCTCTCTCTCTCTCTCTCTCTCTCTCTCTCTCTCTCTCTCTCTCAGGCACCCGAAGCGTCAGGCATGAACCCTAAAACCCTAAACTCTGAACCAGAAACCCTAAACCCAATCTCTCCTCCTGCAAAACTACCCCTGAACCTCCACCTCAGCTGCTCTTCAGCCCCCCAAAAGCCCCTGTAACGAACCACCGGGACCCTCCTTGTACCCTCAGATAAGGGTGCCTGGTCCCAAATCATACATAGATGGTCCCAAGTAATGGGTATGTAGGATCTAATAATGTTCCCTCAGATAGGGGAACTGCTGGGTATTATAGGGCTTGGGGTATCTGGTTTCTAAATGATGGGTCTCTAGAGTAACACAGGTGGACATGGTCCCTAATAATGGGTACTTGCGGTCTGATATCGAGAGTTTCCGAAAATTAGGGGTACGGAAATTAGGGTCCCCTATTTTCGGAAACTCCCTGATCCTAAACCCTAAACCCTTAATCGAACACTATAGATCCCTTAAGGGAGCCCTTATGGTACCCTTCAAAGGTCCCCTATTTTTCGAACCTCCCATTCCCGAAACAGATGGAGGGTCTAGGCATGCTGGCCAACGATGAGAACGGTTTGGGGGTGTATAGGGCTTACCTTAACCCCGGAACAACCTACCTTTTTAAGGACTGACTTATATAAAGAGATCATAACAAGGAGCCCTAAAACGGTAGGTTATTCAGGGTTAAGGTACGGCTTTAGGATTTAATTCGGGTCTGCTACAACCACGGGAACAAGTGACAAGCAAGCGACAGAACGAGTTGTCGGCTCTAATACATGTCATGCAACCTAGCGTTGCCACTCCCTGCCTTTGCTGCAAGCATTGATGGCATCGTTGAAGTGGTAGATGTTAGAGCCTCACTTTCCGAACGTCGCAACTCGCCCTACTCTATCCAGTGCCACAGCCACCTTTGCACCGTGCTATGCAATTCCAGGCCATGGACCAGAAAAGCCCAAAACCTTCGTACCTAAACCTATGCCCAAACGGTCCCTACTCAAGCTCCAACCCTGCCCTAAGCCCTTAGCCCTAAACCATTTTTGCATCCAGTCCTATTGCGACTGCAGCCCTAAACCATAAACCCCTAGACCCCAAGCCCTGAATGTGAAACCCAGAGCCCCGAACTGAATTTGAGACTAGCGGCGGAGACCACCTTCTTGAAGAGCCTTCCTTGGATGTCCGGAGAAACTATTCAAAAGATTGGAGGCAACTTTCAAAACTACTGCAGCTTGAGGGTTCAGGGCTTCAGGGTTTAGGACCCTTCAACAACCCTTGAACCAATGTGGAAACCCGTGGCGAGCCCTGAAACAGATGCCCACGCTTTTGCTCAGGGGTCAGGCTTCGACTGTCAAACTCGCACCAGGCACGCAAGGCTCCACGACATTTAGGACCTCTCCACGTCTCGGGTTCAGGATATAGGAGACTCCGATAATAGGGGACCCCAATATAGTACCCTGAATAGTAGGATCCTTATAAAAAGGACGCCAGAATAAAGTACCCCCTAATTTTCGGAAACTCCCAGTCAGGGTGCAGTAGCATTCGGGCAATCGGAACCACCGGCATTGGAAAACATCGGCTT